AGAACAAAAGGAGGCCTCGAGGAGTCGGGGGTGCTTCAGCGAGGAGAGGAGCAAAGCCAGACTGGAAGGATGAGCAGGGTGCATGGGGTGCTGGGGCACACAAGCACAGCAGGGTGAAATAGCAGGTGGCTCAGGGAGGTCACCCAGGGAGAGCCAGAGAAGGGGACAGCAGGGATCAGAGGCATGGCTGGAAAGGCAGGGGACAGACAGAGAGCAAGGGAGAAGCTTCAAAAGTGGGCATATCCTGGCTTTAAACAGGGAGTGGGGCTGCAGCCTGGCAGCTCCGAGGAAGATGCCCATGTTGGAAAGAAGGCTCGGGGGGCTGGTGCACAGAGTGGGGCAAGGAGAGTGGCCTTGGGGGCATGGAAACCAACTGGGAACCTAGTGCAACAGCCCAGGTCTGACTAAAGGAACGTGGCAGGACGGGCACTGGAGAGCTTGCCCTGCAGCTGGAGGGATGGAAGGAGCTGAGAGCATCAGACTTTCCAGCGTGCACAGCCAGGTGGGGGATGGTGCCATCCACCAAGAGAAGAAACACGGTGCAGGGTAGGTGGGGGCAGGGCTCACTACAACAACACCCACCCGCCAGTCAGTCCTCCTAAGCTGCCTAGGTAAACGGTGTTGTTCGATGCCTTCCTTACAGGGGCTTCGGGATCCCATTTAGTACTCCAGTCTCACCTGCACCCAAACGTTGTCTGCAGCAGAGTTGTGATTCCCACACAGAAGAAAATGGTCCCAATGAGCTGGCTGGTGGCCCACTGGTCGTACCCCACACACATGGCGTCGGCCAGCAGAAAGGGCACCGCGATGGTGCCGCTGAAGCAAGTCAGATAGTGCTGTGGGTGACAGGGAGACAGAGGAAACAGTAAACCCTTCCTCGTTATTTTCTGATTTCATCCTAACTCACCCCTCCAATGTTTTGTTTTGTTTTTTAAAAAAGGAACTCTTTGGTTTGCTTAGGTACACACGAGTATCATATACCAAATCATATTTCTTTTTCAGTATTTCTCCTTTCCATTACATTTCCATTATACTTGTATCATTACTTACTATTCACATGAGTCCAGGTCAGCATAGAGGAAACACTTAATGCAATCATATTTTATTGATATTTTACTCCTGCAATTCTTACTGGAATTACCTGCTTTTTTTCAAATGCTTTTCAGTATCAATTGCTAAAATCATACGTCTTTCTCCTCTGATTTGTGCACATTAATTATTTTGCGTGGAACCATTCTTGAAACAAACTCTAGGAGTCTTGCTATATCTTTCTTCTGCAGTTTGACTTGCCAATATTTTATGTAGAATTCTACATCTGTATTCTTGAAATAATGGGTCTGGGGGTTAAAGCTTCCTTAACACAGGGTATCCCCCCCCCCCTTTTCTATGGTGGCATTGTTTCATAACAATCAGGGGAGGGTTAAGGTCACACAGGAGCTGAAGAATGCTCCACAGAGCCAGCTCTCTCTCCTTTGGGGCCCCACCTCCACTCCCAGCAGGATATTCCTAGCAGCCATGCTCCCAGGGGCCTGCTTGTTCAGTGCCTGCTTCTGTTCGGCAAACCCAATTTTATTCCCAAGAGTTCCCCATCTCTGCTCCGGTTTGCCAAAATGTGTTGCTTGCAGCCCATAAAGCCCAAATTTCATAACACTAATAGGTGTTTCGTGCAGGGAAACAGAACATTCCCATCCAGGACTTCTCAGGGATGCTCACAAGCTTAAGAAAACTGTGCATCGTCAAGAAGGGCATGATGCATGCAGGGTTCCCAATCCCATTTGACCAGGGAACACTTCTAGAAACACCTCGAATATAAACATTTTAAAAAGCAAGTCTCCTCACTCTGTTTCAGGATGTTCAACCCAAGGAAAATTATCCCCTCGACCACTCAGCTCCTTGGGTTGTAACTTCTCCTTTATTAGACACCTTTCAGGTCGGGTAACCAAGTGCTGTGATACCTAAAGGGGGTCGGGAGGGCTGGAAACCCAGACCAAAGCATCAGCTGTCCGGGCAGGTACAGCCTCACCTCCAAGTGCATAAACCTGTCTGGGCAATGAGACTGAGTTTCTCAGCATCTGAAATACCCCAGGTTAAACTGTCATTCAAACTTTAAAAAAATGAAGAATGGAAAGTCAGACCTGAGAACAGAGTCTGGCTATGCTGAAAGCTATCCATTGTCTACACCAGTGGTCGGCAAACTCAGTCAACAGAGCCAAATATCAACAGTACAACGATTGAAATTTCTTCTGAGAGCCAATTTTTTAAACTTAAACTATATAGGTAGGTACATTGTTATTAACTTAATTAGGGTACTCCTAAGGCTTAGGAAGAGCCACACTCAAGGGCCAAAGAGCCGCATGTGGCTCGCGAGCCGCAGTTTGCCGACCACTGGTCTACATTATCAGAAAAGTGCAAACAAGGAACCCAGAAGGCTGATGGACCTTGAGCTTTGGCAAGGGCTAAAGCTATACACCATTGTTCTGTCAAGACAATGGTAGCTCAAGCAATTTCCTGACCTAATAGTCTCAAAGTAAATCTTTACTAATATTTACTGACCTTTAAGATAATCTGTCTGCTGCCGGGATTACTGCCTGACTAAGGGCAATATGTGTATCTAAAATTGAATACAAGGTTGGCAGGGCCTGGGCACCAGTGAAGCCTTTCCACTAAAGAATGGCTCACTGCCCGGCCCCCCATGATATCCAAATTCATACTTCTTGTCTAGTCTCGTCATTTGTGCACAGCCCTTCTCTAGGTCCTGAGCCCTAGCCATGCAGGTCGCAGCTTTCACACAGCTAAAACAACCAAGGCAAACCCAAGTCATGGGTGTGAATCCTAGAAAAGAGCTTCCTGTCTTGTCCCCTTTCTCTAGAGCGCCACTTCAGTCCGTTAAGTGGGAAGAGGGTGCTGAGATGAGGGAAAGCACCAAAATCATAGGAGCCCAGCCCTGTTCCACTCCCTCCCCTGGCAGCGTCCCTGCTCTGCTCCCACTGGAAGCCACAGCAGACAAAGCAGCTGCTTCTCTGGCAAAGTTTGCCTTTCTTTAAAAAGACTGAAACATGCCGTTTACGATCTGGCCAACATGGCATTTTTCAGTGTCGCCCATGTTTCATGGCAGAACTGACTGTGACTGTGAGTTGGTTAACTAAGCCGGGAATGAGAAATGAAAACTAGTTCTTTTCTCTTCTCTTCTACTTTTCTCTCCCTTTGTTCTTCCTTTTTTCTATATCTCTACGATTTTCAGTCCTTCCTTCCATGTCATTTCCTTTGCTTATTCCCTGTTTTCCTTCCTTCATTCTGTTTAATCTCCTCCTCCTTTCTTTTCTTCCTTTCACTACTATGAAACTGATATTAACAATTTCCATTCATCATTCTTAAGAGAGTAATCTATACTAATAAAAGGGTAATATGTTTATTAGACCGGGTCGATTGGACATCTTCCAGATGTCCGACTTCCTTCCAGACAAAGCCATAGTGGTGGGGGCTAAGGCAGAGGCAGTTAGGGGCAATCAGGCTGGCAGGGGAGCAAGCAGTTAGGAGTGATCAGGCTGGCAGGAGAGCAGCAGTTAGGGATGCGATCAGGCCAGCAGGGGAGAGCAGTTAGGAGCGATCGGGCCGGCAGGGAGGCTGTTGGGAGTGATCAGGCGCAGGGAGAGCAGTTGGGGGCGATCAGGTC